ATGTAAGTTTTGGTTAGCTTCTTGTATGTATGTATATAACTTGTTCAAGGTTGAATACCACGTTGTCATATGTATGTACATGGAAAATGACTTTTGTGTACCATATTTTAAATTGTTTACATGTTTTTGTTTGTTGTTGTTTTTAATAAAGATTTCCGCCCCTGAAGAAGCTAGGGAAATTTAGCGAAACGTTGGGCATGAAGTGAAGAAAATTTAGTTTTACTTGCACTTGCGAACATTAGATCCACAAGGCCTATTCAAAAACAAAATATTTAAACATAAGGGATCAGCACAAATAAAGGAAAAAAATAACGGATTTTTACCTACCTCATTCTACCTAAGGATGTATACACAGAACACAAACTACTGGGTGAACGAAAGAATATAATTCGCTGAGACGCATGGTGTAATAATAACGAGGTGTTGTCAGTAACTTAACCTCACTTTTTCGGCAGGTCTATTCCGGTCACGCATTTTAAAGTAGTAGAAAAGGTACTAATTATTTACTACTTATAATCCGTTTGTGCATACTATATCAAATTAAATGTAGAAAAATGTATAATTACAGGCTTATAAGCTTGAATATAAGTTTTTATCGTCAGCTCCACACAGCTTGGACATATATTGTAACTTATAAAAAAGTAAAGGCCGTAAAATAAAGCAATTTCCTATAAGACTGTAAATGTTTTTTTAAATAGATTAAAACACATAAATATCAATAATATAAGCGAAACCGTAATTTAACCATGCTGCCGCTCTATTCTAGTGTATCAGTGGTCCATTTGGCGCGATATTAAGACAATGCAACAAAAGATATTTAATATAAAAAAATCGCTTTTCCATACGATTTTTGTGTACGTCTTTTTCCATTGATAACCACGATATCTTTTATATTTTATATTTTGAGGACAAAAATCTTAAATATTAATATCGTTTTTGTTAGAATTATTTTAATTAATAAATAATATTTTATTTAATTCATTAGATTTTGATTTATTAATATATATTCTTTAATTAAAATGTTCACAAAATTTCAGTGTTAATTGTATGACATTTTCTTAAGACGTCTAAAAATAAAATAATATCAACCGGTTCGTTTTTATGTGTGTATATATGTATGTATGTAAATTTTTCTTGTTTCTTTTGCGGTCCATTTTATGTTCACACATGTGGACATATGGCGCCACATAGTGTTGGAAAACAAATATAAATTTACTTATTACAACAGTTTTGAAAACACCAAGTTCCTTAAAAATCGCGATAAAACGAAATATTAAAATGGAGTATTTAAGATACTATTTCCCAACAAATAGTAGTATAAAAATTAAGATCGGCA